CTTTTCCCCAGATACAGGATCAGACTGGCACACCAGGGTATGCTGGCCTGTCAGGTACAACAAAGGCCTTTCTCCGCATGCTGTCCTTGTAAGACAACTTGTCATGCTGCAGTCACCAAAACCTTGCTTTGACCCCAGGAGTACCACTCATACTAGAGGCCAGAAAGGATAAAAAACCAGCAAGGGTAACTTCAGAGAAGATGTTTTAAACTCTCTGCTCAGAACCAGAATATCCGTTTCCTTTCTGTCCTTTCCCTCTTATCGCTTCTGTGCTGCACACCAAGACAAACTTAAGTACCTTCAGCTGCTTACAACTGCCTTTGTGCAAAATGCTTTTAAGGTGCTTATAACGTGGTGCTTCTAAGCAAGCTAAAAGAAAATACCAATACAAACACTGTTGAATGATTCATGAATAAAGCCATTAAGGACCAGCTGCTACCTTACGGGAAAGCTGAAGACAATTCAAGTTTGACTCCTGAGTTGTGTTCCATGCCTTGCATTGCTGTCCCCAAAGCAGTTTTTACTACAGTCCCACCCACATTATACCTTGACCTTGGCTAAGGGGGCTTTATTTCAACACTTTTTTCTTTCTCTAAGAGTGAATTCAAATTCTTCTGGCAGTCATTCACAAATTCACAAAAAAATGATACCAACAGACTGCAGACAAGAGGTTTACAAGCATTCTTGCTGGCAGCAATGACAAGAAGGGTGACCCAGCTGCAGAAGGGGCAGATTGTGTACTAAACAATAAGGTTTCAAGAAGCAGTTGTTCTTTGATAAGCTTTCAAGCATTTCAAACAGGCACCTCAAAACTGGGCACAAATGGCCCCTAAAGCTTCCAGCATCTATCGAGCACTCCAGAAATTTAGTATGGGGTATGTTCTGCATGATACAAATAGCACACCTATGTTTGCTATATTCATTAAGTCTCAAATCTACATATATTCATACCTAACTATTTGGCCAGATAACTTCCATCTTCCCCCACCACAACAAAAGCAAGCAGCTCCTCTAGCAGTACTTCCAACGCCACCAAGTACGTCACAGGTAGAAGCAAAAACCAGCCAGCACCCTCTGCCTTTCAAAAAAATCTGAGTTGCTACCACCACTTTTGGCAGTTGGGCCAGAATTCTCCTGAAAGCTTCTTTTCCAGTCTCAAAGGCTGAGCTCTGCCACCACTGGTGTCTTATAACTGGCTACCCAGAAGTATCTGGAATAGGGAATTCAACAAGTCAGTCCGAACGACACGTGATTTGTGGTCACTTGGATTCTCCAGCTGTTCTCAGTCTAACTGTTGGTCACTATTTACTTCATATTTGAACTGTGTATCATCTTACTATGACAGTAAATTGCACAGTTGTGTCTTCAACTTTTGACAAGACTTTTAAGCTCCTCATCTCTCAATGCAATAATTTCCACTCTACTAGCGGTTAGCGCTGGGTCTGAGTCAGAAAACCCCAAGATAATTCTAGCCCTGAAATTAATTTCCTCTGCATCACAGCATTTAGAAAGAGCTGAAGTCCTACCACCAAGACAGAGAGGGTGAGTGAGTGCTGGCGACAGGAGATTGCCAGTGGCTTGTCCACAACTGTGAAGTTTCTTGGTCGAAATCCCCTGACCTGGGCACGCTGCAAGGCTTGTTTATGTTCCCAAGCTACTCCTCAAGTTAGGCAAACAGAATTTTGCACTTTATGTCCTGTAACATTTGTACATGCGGCGAGAGATCCAGATAGAAGCAACGTCCTATAAAGTTCAAATAAATAGAAAATAAAACCCATGTGCCAAGTTTGTTATAACAAAGTGTCAGTTTGTCTTATGTGCCAAACAGACTTAGTAGTGGGAGAAATGACTGCCGAGGAAACAGTGACATAGTCAATGGAGAGACAGTATAAATAAAAAACCATGTTGAACTGCATGATGTTGTCTCAAAGTGGTACCAATGTTATCAAGAACCTTAATTTTAGGTTTTTTTATACACATACTTACTTCCCCCAGCTCAGTGCAGGACACAAGATCATTCGTGGTAACAACTAGAAATGTTCATTTTCTTTAAGAGGCCATTTGTTAACCACCATTTCTTTTGGGTCACAAGTGTTCAAACAGAGTTTATGGGTAAAGTGCAGAATCTTACAGAACCCTTTTGTTTGTATTTTTACATAAATTAGGAGTTACTGGCACCACGCAGACACAGACCTTCCAAATTACCACTAATGCATTTCACACTGGCACAATACATTAGTCAGCTTTTCATAATAGTAATGAACAAGGTAAATGAATTAAGGTGAATCAATTAAGTGCCCAATTACAAAATTAGGAGTTTGTCCTTCACAACAGGGTCTAACAGCGTGAAGAAAAGAAAACTTGCACTGACACTTTATGTACAACTTGGTCATGGGCAACGGTCCCCTAAACCACCTTGTTTTTAAATGAACCCAGCAAAACTATACAGGATGTGAAAGAATATTTGCAACAGATCTCTTAAAGGACAGTGTAGAGAAATTCATCATGGTGTACCTGATGCTCAAATTAATTTAACAGATACGGCCTGTAAAACAACACAGTATGAACCTGTAGATTTTTTTTTTCTTTTTAAAAAAAGGACTTTTACAGAATTCAAGTAGTGTAGCAGGAAACCATAGATGCCTTTTGATCACGGGTCAGGCAAAATAGAGCCACTTATTGGATTTCCCCCCTTGCTTGTGTTTGCTAAGGTGTCCCAGTGGATCTATAAGTCTGTTGATGTTAGCTTTTTCATGCTCCGTCGCTGAGCTAAACTGGAGGCTGCAACAGGCTCCAGCACTGGCTGAAATGTCTTGTGATTCAGTGCAGAATACGTAGCAGCCATGGCTCCCTAGGGAACAATGAAATAAAAGGCTGTGAAAGTCATTCTGAACAGAAAATAAAGCAACTGAATATTAAATTCTTAATTAACTCTAAAGAAACAAGACTTAGGGCAGGTCGTGCACAGTCTCTAAAGTTTGTTTTGAAAACCAACACATTTACTGCTGAATCCTTCAGGTTTCTAAGCATGGGTGTCTGACACTTCTTCTCCTTCCCCATTTTGCATACTTTAGACCTAGAAGCAACCTTTTAATGTGAATCAGAATTACTGTCTTCCAAGCTACAATTGGCATCAATTGATCAAACACAGCCACTTCAGCAGCCATTCAGGTCTTGACTTATGAAGACCACACACTGAAGACAGGCTATCACAGGTCCTTGGGTTTTGAATCCAACAAAACTAGCAATGTCAACTTAAAAGCTGGCTGCATGCAGCAGAATGTTTGAGTCACAAGTCAGAAATGCAGATACAGAACAGATAAAATACCAGTGGAAAAATTGTAGCATAGTTCATTAATTTACATTAGGAAGCTCACAGAAATACATCTCTTAAGATTTCCCAAAGAAGAACACTAAGAGACCTGTGGCAGTCTCAGTTAACTTTTCTATCAGGTTTCTATGTGGCTAAATCCACTTTTGGAAAAGAAAATACCCAGAAAGGTATTTTACACATCACTTAAAAAAAAAAATCAGTTTACCAATAATTTATCTCCTTATGTAACTTATAGGGGTGTGTACTGGGGAAAACCAAAGCAAGCTGATTTCTAAAGGAAAAAACAGTAAAAGTGACCCAATTCACAGCACATGCACCAGCTGAAGCAATGTTCAGGTGGTTTTACCTTTACTAGATGTGGTGCATCTTGCCTGTTGAGTTGATAATGTGGCAGCTGGGTGTGTATTGGGGAAAACCACAGCAAGCTGATTTCTAAAGGAAAAAGCAGAGCTCTGGCCTGTAAAAGTGACCCAATTCACAGCACATCCACCAGCTGAAGCAACGTTCAGGTGGTTTTACCTTTACTAGATGTGGTGCATCTTGCCTGTTGAGTTGATAATGTGGCAGCTGGTCCCTGCAGGCTATCCAGGAATGCTTCAGGACTTGCTCAGCTGTGTACCGCTGGTGTGGATCTACGTGAAGCATGTGTGATAACAAGTCCTAGATAAAAATGGGAAAACACACATCTTATTTAGTTAACATGATCTTATACAGACTTTAAAGCATTAATTATGGCAGCAATGAAAAAAAAAGTACCCAACGTGGCAGGGATTAACACAATGCAAACACACAGAGTGAAAAATCAGCAGATAAATTGGATCATTCTGTGCCTTGACACTGCACAAGTCTGAGAACAATGAGTTTACTATTGAAGCAGTTCAACACAGCAAGGCTTTATTGTAAAGAAACCTACTGCTGTCTGTGTGTTTCATATTTCAGTTTGTTATTAATATCATCTTTTCAAGACTAGAAATCCTATTAAAATTTAGCAGACAGATTTTGTAGAAGAAAGCTATTATTTGGAAACAACTCTCTTCATTCACACTTGGTGTGCTGACTGCACAGTACTATTGAATTCATATATAGTGACATATTAAAGAGTTTTTCCTTTAAGGGGCTAGAGAAGAGTAAAGCCAACAGAAATGGGCACTTGGTTTTGCCTGTTGAGAATCATTAGCAATAAGCTACTAATTAGTGTTGGTCAGCAGAAGAGCTGGGTGGGAAGGGCACAGAACAGAGACAGGAATAGCTTGAAAGAAAACAAAATATGAACAAGCTGACAGAACGTTCCCTTTGTTTGAGGTACAAAATGTTAAGTGTTCTTAGATACACAGAAGTTAATTACTTGTGCTAAGACAGCATCAGCCAACAAGCATTCTGAATCACTCCTCCTGAAATAACAAACAGTGCAGTTCCAAAGGAGCAGGGAGAGATTCAGTATTAGTGCTAAGCTTTATCAAAGGCAACACCAGTGACTAAGATGCCTCTGGACCAGGCCAACACCAAAGCCAGAGAACACAGGCAGCAGCTGGGCAGAGGTGCAGGCTTCCAATAAAAAGGACAGCTGCATAACCAAGCTGGTCAAGGTTTTAGGCAAGATATCCAAATATATTTGGTTGTTAAAGTACTAACAAAGACAAAAGACCTGATGGCTTCAGTGTTGAACAACATTTATGAAATTGCACTAAAAAAAAAATTAACTTATTCATGTAAGACTGGTCAGCTACGAGAACTAACATAATTGTAAAAAGTCATCCTTACATTTAGAGGAATCTCACAGTCTCCTGATTTTGTCCAATAAAAGGAGGAATAAAAACTACTGATGATTAGAAAAACCTGTACTGGGACCTCTCTTATTTAAAATCTGTATAATTGATCCAAGGAAAGGAAGATGGAGCACACTTTTGCCAAGTCTGCAGTGGGGCACCACACTACAGGCATGGGGAAAGAGCTTATGAGTTCCAGGGCAGGGCAACCACCCCAAGGGGCCTAGGCAGGGTGGAGCAATAGGCTAACCAGAGCCGTGCAAAATTCAGCAAGGAGAAATCCAAAGTCCTGGGCTTGGAAATGAAGAAACTGTGACCAAGGTACAGGGTGGGGACAGTCTGGCTGGGGAGCAGCTTTGCTGAGAACGACCAGGAGGTTTTGGTAGACAAACTGAACCTGAACTACCAGTGTGACCTGGCACCCAAGACTGACATCCCTGTAGTCAGCATGGCCAAAGGAATGGAGACACAAGACAAAGGAAAACAAGAGATGTTCTGGCTTGATGTTATGAGAAGTTTTTTCCTCATTACAGCTGCCAAGCATTGGAAGATACTGAGGCAAGCCATTCAGTCTTCACTTTGGAAGTTTCTGAAGTTAGACTGCAGAAAGCCCTGAGGTACCTGGTCAGATCTCACAGCTGACCCTGCCTTGAGCAGGAGGCTGGACTCAATGACCTCCATTGCAATAAAGTTTACAGGTAATGGTAGCAAACTATTATGTTAGACTAGTCCATTTTATAAAGTTCATTAGATGTTCATTTGAATACAAAAATAAGAGTAAAAACAACACATTTACACCTTTGCTGCATCTGAAACAGTGTCCCAGTTGCCTCCACTTAAGGAGAATTTTCCACTGCCTATCCGTACCAGGATCTCCTCTGGGGTATCGTTAGGACCGTTGGCAAACGGGGTATACCTGTTGGAAGAAAAGAGAATACAATCAACAACACTCCACATTACAGGTAAGAAGCTGCAATAAATTGGTAAAATCTCATGAATCATTCCAAGCAGATTTCCCACTGCTGACAGCAACATGCTATAGACTATTAAATACTTCTTATATTAGCGTTTCATCTTCAAAACAACATTATTTCCTTTTCCCCATAATTGTGGTTAATCAAGTAGAATAAATGGGAAATGCAGACTAAAAAGATGTCTTAATACCTTAACAATGTGTTCTCATCAGTGCAGACTTTCAGGGTAAACAGAAGTGATTCACCAGCACAAATTCTGCCAGATCACCAGGGCACATGAGGTAACCCAGACCTGGCTCAGCACCCTAACAGAACAGCCCCATAAAGCTGGGGTGCTGTCATCTTCAGGGGATGTGCATTTAATCAGGCAGAGCATGAGCACAGTCTGTACACACCTATCACATGGGGAAAAGCTACAAGAAAATTTTCATGAGTTTTTTTTTTTTACTTCAGAGAGTTTGGGAGGCTTAAACCACAAGATCATTGTTTTTGGAGGCTTGTAATAGTTTACAAGGATTCCTGTAGATTTGGCTTACTTTCTACAAATCTACCATGATGCACTTGAAAGAACTAAAGTGACCAATCTCAAAACCAACTTATCACTTAAATTCACCTTTTAACAATATCAGGAGCATTATCATATTCTGGCATCTCCTAGGATCACAGGCTAGTAGCAAGTTAGTTTTTACTATAAAACCCAAACCTTATTCTGCCTAGGTAGTTACATCATAATACCCTGTTCATTTCTAATTAGCTAACAAACAATAACAATTAAGCCTAATGCATTCTTAGTGCTTTGAAAGCTCTGCATAGAAGGAAGATCAACCAGCATCATCAACAGAGGTCTAGGAACTATCCCAGCCAGCTGGTTCTAGTCTTAGTTGATAAGATGACAAGAAGCAAAATGGGAAGCCAGGAATTCATGTTGGACCATTCCTCTGCCATGCTCTGGACCTGCCACACCTTTTGTTCAGTGTTTCTCAAGTGTGCAGGCAGTATAATATCCATTATCTGCACACTTGCACTTCAATCACACAGCAAGCTGAGCTCTGGTGACAGAACTCCCATCCCTGGAGACATTCAAGGTCAGGCTTGATGAGGCTCTGAGTAGCTTGATCTGTTTGGAGATGTCCCTGCTTATAGCAGGAGCGTGGGACTAGATGACCTTTGGAGGTCCCTTCCAACCCAACCATTCTATGATTCTATGAACTGCAGTGGTGATGGTGGTTTTAAGTGGAGAAGTACAAATTTATCAAGAGGAAGAGTTTCTATCAGGTAGTATTTATCTCTAAATAAAAAAAAACACTTTTTCTGTTAGAGCAGATTTCAGAACACCTTTCTTCATTTGGCCACTATGCAATTCATCGTGTTTAGTTTCTATTAGGTAGTATTTGTCTCTAAGGAAAAAAAAAAACCCACTGTTTTTCTGTTAGAGCAGATTTCAGAACACCTTTCTTCATTTGGCCACTATGCAATTCATAGTGTTTAATGAAAGTCTGGAGGTTCAGAGAACTTAAGAGGTTACAAGCCAGTATTTTACAAAAGGACCTGCAGCAAAAGGCAGAAGGTGATGGGCTACAGGGGTACTACTAGGGTAGGAGGGACAAGAAGCAGGAGAGAGAAGAAAACCACCACATACTTTCACAAACTAAACTCTGTCCTGGAAACTTGGGAGAGTCTTTGGCATCCTCAGTCATGCACTATAGAAGAGAGAAGCCTTGAACCTACCTATAAGATAAGCCTAGCTTATGTATGCCTTTACTTACAGCTTCCTGTTCCACTTGAGTGTCTTTGTCTGCACTCAAATCAAGGAGGCAGTATCTCACAGTTGTAGTGAAAGCATGGATTCCTGCAGCATGCTGGAATTTCAGGTAAATAAAAAAGCTAAGAAATAGTTCTCACCCTGCCAACATGGTGTAAAGAAGAACACCCAAGCTCCATATGTCACAAGCAGCATCATATCCCTGTCTCATGAGAACCTATAAATGAAAGGGGGTTAAAAAGACTAAATTATTATAATCCATTAAAAAATCCACCCCAAGCTGATACCAGTACACAGCCCAAGGAAGGGCAAGTCACTCTCAGGATCATTTCAGATGTGTGATTATTTTTCCATGCACAGGTTACAATAACTATCAACAATATTTCTTGTTCCCAGAAAAGCATCTCTTAAGATTCTCAACAGGCTAATGTATTTTTTTGAGGGTGGATTCTTCTATTTTTAAAGCAAGTTTATAATAAACATATGCATCAGTGTTTATGAAGTATGTACAATTATATTTAACAGAAACTGACAGAATTTATTTTTTTTAAGCACTGCTAAAAGGTTTAAGTACTTGATGCATCAAAAACAGCACAGGGAATGCACACAGCAATTTGAGATACCTCTGGTGCCACGAAGTTTGCAGTGTAGCACGGGGTCAGAAGCAGTCCATTTTCTCCTCGAAGCTGTTTTGCAAATCCAAAATCACAAATCCTGATGGAATCAGCATTATTTGAATCATCCGTATATAAAATATTACTAGGCTTAAGGTCTCGATGCACCACCTGTAAGCACAGAAATGTCACACCTGTCAGAAGTTGCACCTACATTTGTTTGTATGGAATTTGCAATCTGTAAAAAGTATTCTTTAGATTAATATATTAATAGTTCTACAGAAATACAGAAGTTTCAAGTGACAAAAAATTCTAGTTCAAGCCATGTCATAAAGCCTATGGCTCACAATGCCACTGGGACTAACACAACTATTCACCAAGCACGGGAGAACAGGCATCTGCTGTTTCACAAACTGTGACAGTGGAGTCATAAAGGGCTTGCCAGAGTAACAGAGGGTTTGTCCATGTTATCCACCTTCGTCATCAAATGCTCAGCAATCTTCTTCCCTCCTGCCCTAAAGACCAGCCCAGCAAAGCCCCTAACAAGAGGTGTTTGAGGCTAAGCAGCGTGGCAGAGAGCACTCACTCCTTGGCAGTGCAGGTAGTCCACAGTCTTGGTGATGGTGTACAGCACCGCGCTGGCCTCTCGCTCCGAGAAGAACTTCTGCCTGAGGATGCGATCCAGCAGCTCTCCTCCTTTCATCAGCTCAGTGACAAGGTAGATGAATCTACCATCATCATACACCTGGGGACACGTTTAAAAGGGCATGTGTATATAGATACACACATACCTGTTAGAAAAAGATCATCTCTAATGATAGATCCTGATAAAACAAAAATTACAGACCAGACTGCTCATCTATTCACATGGGAACATAAAGCACAAACAGCAGGGACTGAAAAATTGGATTCTGCTACTCAGGAGCCTTACAGCACTAAGTATAAGAAAACTTGTGTGTCATTCTGTGAGACACTGAGGTAATCGATTGCTAAGTCATGACTCTGAATTAAATTTGTCAGCCTAGGAACCTCTGTTGTAAGAGGAGGGTTGTCTGCCCCACCACTCTATTGCTCTTCCCTTCCACAAACAATTTTTAGCTGCTGGCCCTTTGCATATACAGGACAACATGGAACTGCTTTTTCAGATACAACTTACCAGCACATTAGCTACTCATCTGAAGTGGAAAAGTAGCATTTTTAAGCTTTACATCATCACCAAACAGCATTTAGAAAAAAAAATTCTATCAGGACAATGTTATATTTTGAAATGCTCTACTATATGTACTGCTCTCCAAATCTATTTTACTATGTAAAAGAGAAAAAGAGGTACATACATCCTTTAAAGTAATAATATTTGGATGTTGTCCATAACGCATGAGAATCTCAATTTCTTCTGAGGGATCTCTCTTACTTTTGTCAATTATCTGCAAAATAGAGCAACAGGAAAAACAACTTGGCTAAACAGTCTATTTAATGAAGTTTTTTTGTATTTATATTATCACTTCAACAGAATAAACACATTTCTAGACTTTGTTATTTGTTACTAATCATGACTAATGCATCTCCCTGTTTCACATCCCACAGTTATTAACTTCTTGCCTTTTCCTTGGTACCAATTAGAACTATTTAAGGAGTATCACTACTGCAGTCTGCCCTGCTCCAATGGACAAGAAAAAGCGAGGCACCCTCTGAAGCAGCACTACTCCCCTACCACTCCTGTGGATCTCAGTTTATTTCAGCTGTGCTCATCATCATCATCATATGATCTTTTCATGCTTCAAGCTGCTAATTGCAAAGCCAGTTCTCCAAGGCCATAACTTCACCCACAAGAAGAGCTATAGAAGCTGGCAGACCATTTAACCAACGAAGCAAACAGCATTTCTCATTTCTCACAGCACGTCAAGAGCTACAGAACCAGAATATTCATGCATTTAAATTTACAAAATCTACCACACAATGATTTATTGAGAATACCTTTACAGCAAACTCCATGTTTGTAGCTATGTGTATACACCTCTTGCACACTGAGTAGGAACCAACCCCAATGTCTTCCTTCAGCTCATACACGTCAGTGAACTGTGCGCTGCTTCCATGAAGTTGCTTTAAAAACAAAACCACACACGAGCTGTCAGCCCCAGCAACAGGACACTTTTGGCCATAAAACTGTTTCCAACTCGCCCATCCTGCCTCCAGAAAAACAGCAACTTGCTTTTAAAATTTAAAAATACCCCGTTGTTTAAAATGCACATTTGAAACTAGTTTCCCCAGCCAAAAAAGAGCACACTGTAAACGCTGAATTTTGGTCAGTTTTTTGGCATGTCAAAAAAAGTTTCCCAAAAAAAGAAAATGTTACCTGTACTATGGGCAGTATGTTGGTGAGGGGTGATATTTTATGATCTTCCACAGTAGTCGTTGCAACAAAACTAAACCCTTTGAAGAGCTGATGTGCATTTGCACTGGGTGGGACTCCTGGGGAATCTAGTGGTGTAAACATTTGATTAGCACGGCTGAATCCCAGCAAGGCTGGTTTTTAAACATTCACAACAAATATATCAGAAGGAACATTTTGAGGAAAGGGAAACAAAGGAGGGCAACAGTAGATGTTGAACAAGACCTTCCAATCAGTTTTGTCTTACTTCACAAGTACTCCTGGGTTTTTATCTAAAACTGCAAGACCCTGCAGGTACTAATGCATGAAGAGATGTTTTTAGGAAGAAGTCTATTGAAGCATGACACTACTTATGAGAAAGAAATAAAGATCATAGTCTTATGTTCAAGGGCTGCATCCCAAAGAAGAATGCCCACAGATTTTGCTGCAAAAAACTGGCAAAGCAGAAGTGAAGCATTGCAAGAATATTCAATTAGTAACAGTACTGAATAATTAGAACCAAGTTTTGCTCAGATTACATTATGTGCATTAATTAGCTGTTTGGAATTTCACAGTAAGCAGAGCTTGATAATTCTGTGTAGCCTGTTAGAGCCACAGACACTCTCCAAACAAACACAACAAGTGGTTTGAAAGACTGGATGCAGCAATAAGGAAAAAAGTCACAGAAAAACCACCCTGAATTAAAACTTGAACTTTTCTCAAGAGTGAAGTCAGACCCAGCATATGTAGTGCTGGGAACAGCTCAATATAAAAATGACTATAAATTGAGTTTTAAGATTTTAATAATGATATAGGCTCAAGAAACTTAACTCTAAAGCGAGTAATTTTCAGTGGACCCTAAAAATAGGATTGCACTGCTGCAATCAAATGGAGTTTACTTTTAGTATTAAATACTTCCCCCCCCAGCACTGAATGTCTGATACAAACCATAATTCATCTGTTATTATTTTTCAATTTGTTTTTTTCCTGCAAATCACAGTTTAGCAGAATATTTCAAAGAACAGGAACACGTTGATGAAAATTTGCTCCTTCAAAGTACTGGAACCCTGATGCACCCTGAACCTCACCAATTCATAACCACCAGCACTGCATGTCTGATTTTAAATCAGAGCTACAAACCATAATTCATCTGTTATTATTTTTCAATGTTTTTTTCCTGCAAATCACAGTTTAGCAGAATATTTCAAAGAACAGGAACACGTTGATGAAAATTTGCTCCTTCAAAGTACTGGAACCCTGATGCACCCTGAACCTCACCAATTCATAACCATGCACAATTACCTTTTGGTGTTTTTGCTGTGAATTCTGGATCAAAACAAAAGGTATCCTCTGGCTTTCCAGAAGCAGGTTTAAATGGGGGTTGAATTTCTCTTCTGAACAGTTTCTGAAGCAGAAGGACAAAGTCACAGAATTAAGAGTGAATGAGACTTCCATGGGTGCTGTAATTTTGCCAAGCTAAAGGGAAAGTAACTCAAGTTATAATGTATTAAAACAGTTTTCTGAAAGAGGAATATATAGCAAGTAGAAAACTACAAATATACATGGAAAAAACAAGTTATTTTCATGCACTTTTGATTTGAAATGCTACAGGAAATGCTACCAAACAAGCCAAACAACACAGAGCTCTTTTCCTTCTGAATCTGCCTCATCTACCAGACCTGTACTTTTAAAACTACATCATCAGGCTGCTACTTATCACTAGTTCAGCCCACACTTATTCAGAACAACAGGGAACAGCCACAGCACACCTTACCTTCTGTCACTATCTGGGACCTGGCTCAGTGTTGTGTTGGCAGAACCCTGACAAACCCACCCCAAAGGGAAGCTGCAGACACAGCCTTCACCATTCTATCCTGGGCCCAGGACAAAGGCCTCTCAGGAGGGACAGGCGTGTCCCTCTTGGCAAGCAACTGCCAACTCTCAAAGCTCTGTTCCAGGTTTTTCCAAATTTACTAAAAAAAGTCAGGGGGAAGGAAAGGAAAGCAGAACAACAGCTCCTCTTTTTATTTTTCCCCCTCCTTAACACACTACAGGAAAACATGTTGCCCAAGTGATCTCAGATCAGCAATAAGTCCCCATGTACAGTTCAGGAAGAGAAAACTTCATGTCAAATGATGTGAAAGTCCCACGTTAAGTTCAGGAAGTTCTGAGAACATTTTCTTGGCATTTCTTTCATCCTTTCAGACCTACTTTTTTTTCAGCTCTTTTCACTTAATCTTCCTGTACAAGAACAAGTAAAGTATTTCAATTCAAAACACTCAAAACCCAAACAAAAACCAAGGAGAAGGGACCTGAATTTATCCCAAGGAAATAAGATAAAACACTGAAGTGGTCATCAACACCATCACAGTGAAATAAGTACAAAGCACTGCCAAAAAAAAAAAAAAGGAAAAAAAAAAAAAATCAGACAGAAAGAGAAAGGAAAAAAATAAAACCACAGAAAAAAAGGAAGTTAGAACTGCAGATCTTTCAAACTTCCTTGCTGGTACTTATTTCAATGTCAGTGCCTTAAAAAAAAAAGTAGATAAGCCATAAGAAGACAGCCTTCTCTGACAAAGTGCACTCATGTAAGGCAGCAAAGTGCTGTTGTTACTGAAAACCCCACTTGCTGATCAGGACACTGTGGTAGATGCTGCATCAACACAGCTAGAAAACCACCTCCCTCCTCAGAAGTAAATACAAAATATAAAGAGAAGGGTAATAACAGGCTTTACAGAAACAGTTGAGCACAGTATTTGCTAGCACTGCAGGTAGTCCTGTCAGCAAAGCAACATCTTTATTGTGTCTATCCTTTGAGTGCAGGTACAGCAAAGGAAGGTTTTCAGAGTGGATTTACTTGATAAAAAACATCTTGGTTTTGAGAATGTTTCTGGGAAACACTTCTCAAAAGATCAGAGAAGCACAGAGAAAAAGCATCAAGGTGCTTGTTAAAAAACTCAAGCAAGCAATCCTGAACTCATCCAGATTTCTGATTGTCTCTGAGCAGCAGAATCAATGCTGGAACTGGGAATGGGATATGGCTGATAAAATAGGGATGTGCTAGAGAGAAACCAGAACTAGAGAGAAGCCAGAAGCAGTGTCACAGCCACCTCCTGCCCTGCGTGGATGGAAGCACCAGACACGTACTAAGAGAAGGATTCTTGCACCCGGGGGACACCAGCATCCTCTCCCAACTACCAATGTTCTAACAGACAATTTAAGCTTTAGAATGCTGCAACTCTTAATTACTTGAAAAGGAAATGTACAATTTATAATTAATAGTCTCTACATCATAAATACTACAGCTCCAGATGCCAAGTAAGATTATAGTAGAAGCCAGAATGTAAGTCAGCAGCATCACAGTGTTTATTGGGCCCAATTCAGATGCAAACACTTATAATGCCACAACACAGAAAGATTAAAACCAGCTTTACCATTCAGATCATTCTGTACTTACATTCCAGTCAACAGTAGAAAAAAAAGGATGTCTCTTGATTTCTTCAACTCCATCTGAACCAGCTCCTGAACAAAGAAAACAACAGTATTTAAAACACTTTTGGGTGAAGTCTTTGAAGACTGCACTAAGGATTAGTTAATTTCTAAAAATTTCCCATAGACATGGTTATTTGAGGGAACTGTAAACACAGAATTGTTCCAAGGATGTAAAATATTCCACTAAGAAGTGTACACCTCATCAGGGAGGCAAATGAGTGCAAGCAGCCCAGAAATACAAAGTCAATGCTCTGCTTTGAAACTGTCAAAGCTTTGCCTCACTGCCAAGAGTCACTGGTCCAATACAGGAGTCACTCATTAGCCAAACCCATGACCAGGAAATCATGATCCAAGCTGACAAGGAATGGGATCTAAACCCAAATCTTACTGACCATACTTGAGAGTCTCTAACAACTGCTTCCTTTACATAATCAACTTGACCCAACTCACTTTATTCCAAAAATCCAAATAAATGAACCAACCTAATCGATTTGATGGGTTCCTTTTAAACAACATCCTCAGAAGACTTTGTGCTTCAGGGCTGAGGAACTGAGGCATCCCAAGTTTTGCTCTAGAAGAAAACAGAACAAATAAGAGGAAGAAATGTTATCCTATGAAACATTGTCTACATAGACTTCATTGCACAATTTGATGTAGCAAGGATCTATTCCAAAGCCTGTGCAGAGTGTACACATTTAGCTCAGCAGCTTAAGTTTCACATTATATGAGTGTTAAAAAACCCAAAACCAAACAGCACCAAAATAAGCTACTAAAACCACACCAGGCCAAAAACGTCAAGTCACACCAAGCCCCCATAAGAACCTTTATGCTAAAATCAAGTAAAACAATTCTCAGGAATATATAAGCATTTTCAAAGAGATCTTTGTCTCACCAGGAAGTTATCACCAGAATAAATACCTCTACCAGAATCAACACCAGAAGAGACTCACCAAATCCCAAATCCCCTAAAATTCTTCCTAACCTTCCTTTTGAAGCAAGAGCCTCAAGAAGTAGCTCATTAAGCCACCATTTAAAATCTTACTGACTCTACCAAGATTTTTCAATGAGAACAATTATGCTAAGGCAAGAAATTCTTCTGCAGGACAGGAGCATCACTTTTTGCCCCAGGTGAGGTCAGTGATCTAATCCACACGCTTTCACAGGTAGTTTTGCTCTGAATTCATACTCAGGGTAAGTTCAAACTGTCGTACGTTGGGAAGAACAGAACTTCTCTCTCTCACCCCCTTCCCTGACTTATCACTCCCTCAAAAGCCCCAAAGCTCTGCATGTGGTCTAGAGGAAATTCTTTGTTAGCTAAGCACACAAAGACAAGGTCATATTTGCCCAACAACTTCACTCACTAATTGCCAGTTTACCCAGTTCGTCTCGTTAGACAGCTTCTGTTGTTAACTGGGGTAATTCAGTATGAAAAATGTGAGCTTGGAAGTGCACCCTCCATATATAGGTACACAAAGCAACACCTGATTAACTGTTGCTCACAAAATAAGGGATGCTGTAACAGTAGCAGGAGAGCATAACCATGAGTGGTAAATGCTGCTTGTCTAATTGACTGTACTGTTTTTACCTTTATTATATACCTACAATGAAAAGACAAGGTCATCCCTGTGATTTTACTTACTACAGATATGTAAGAGTTGTTTGCATGGTCTGGGATATAAATCTTATTAGAGGGGCTTGGCTCTTTTGTTTCTTTTCTAGCTAAACACTCTTCTAGCACAAGGAATTGTAACAAACTGTTAAAACATGTTTAAAATCACATTTTCTCATTTCCAAAAAGAAAGTAAGAAGCTATACTTACTTGAGTATCATATTCATAGTTTCATTTCGATCTTTACCTTGAAATGGTAGTGTACCAGTGAGCATTTCAAACTGAAAAGAACAAATGTTCATCTAAATCAACACTTCTTCCCCAGTTCTCAAACACAGTGTTAAGTACTGCACTCCTCTCTATCGCTACATGAGACATGCTGGCTGGAGCTTTTAAAAGATCATAAAAAACGTTCACAAATCTACAGTTTTGTTTGCACTGGCAGCTTACATGATAACAACAGTGGCAAGTGTAATGTAACCATGACGTAGGAATATTTTACAGCCAGAAGCTACTTGAATTCAAGTAATAAAATCCCCTTTGTCACCAAGTTTTAGATGTCACCTACTTTGAAGACAGCAAGAAGAATATATTCTAGAACAGTATGTTGCTTTTAATGCCAACATGCATATTTCAGCCTGATGCTCTAACACACCACAGCAAAGGTGGCAGTGCTAGTGGTTACTGGCTATTCCACCACTCCAGCATTCATTCAACAGGCTTACTTGTACAAAAGTAGAATTAATATTCCACCAAACCAACCCTTCACATTCTAAATAAATATACAAACTGAAGTTTCACACTCACTAAATCATCCTCAGCTACAGATGTGATATTTAAGGTTCCTGCTAAGTACTCCTTACAGGGCCAAGCAGGAGAACAAAGTTTTATTGCTACTTCAGTAGCGATTCAGTTTTTGGAATTCTCTCTTCCCCTTACCCAATTAGATCTGCACAAGTTTATTCTAAGCATATGACTTGACATTCTCTTAGACATAGGCAGTGTATTTATGACCTTAAGCAAGGTAAGCAATGAAGCATACAGTACCATGAGAACACCAAAGGACCACCAGTCAGCACTCTGGTTGTGCCCTCGCCTGTTTACTACTTCAGGTGCCATGTATTCTACAGTACCACAGAAAGAATAGGCCTTCTTCTCTTGGTCTACTGATTCTTTGCTGAGTCCAAAGTCTACAACAACAGCATTACAAGAATATAGCCAGTAAAGAACTTCAGAACACCACAATACTGTACATTGTATTTCAAAACCAAAGCGTTGACAGTTTGTTTTCAGGGATATCACATGACTACTCCAGCTCTTCATGAAACAAAAACTGCAGCTATCTAAAGATATCACAGACTTTTAGTTTACTACATACCACCAAAACTCTTCTATAGGTCATGTTAAATTGGCCATTAATAGTACTACTGAATATTTGAAATATTACACATTTAGAGCCAAGAGAATCAAAAAGTTCTCATTTTCCATTTACTGCCTGCTTTATTCACACAAAAAACTTGATATAAATAAAAATGAGCTTCAAAAAACAGTCTGCATGGTCTAGTATAACTGATGAATAAATTAAAACAGACTAAAAATATTGTTGTTATATAAGACAACATGCATTGTCCTGCAACCTGACTCCATCTCAGTAGTCTTGCAGATCTGCTCAGACTATTTCCAGAATACTTTTTTCTCCTAATTTGAACAATATAATTGAATATGCACTGAATATGCAAGTCCTTGCTATTAGCCTGACTCTCAAGATGAGGCTCTCAAGTGTCTCTTTTGTCAAAGGGGAAATGATTGCTAATCAATAATCCCACAAATTGCTCTTTCCAGTTCCAGAAGGAAGTGACAATAAAAATATTATTGTTATATAAGACAACATTGTTCTGCAACCTGACTCCAGTTCAGTAGTCTTGCAGATCTGCTCAGTTTATTTCCAGAATACTTTTTTCTCCTAATTTGAACAATATAATTGAATATGCACTGAATATGCAAGTCCTTGGATTTAACTTGACTCTCAAGATGAGGCTCTCAAGTGTCTCTTTTGTCAAAGGGGAAATGATTGCTAATCAATAATCCCACAAATTGCTCTTTCCAGTTCCAGAAGGAAGTGACAATTTTAGGATTGTATTTGATTTAACTCAATCATCCAGAATTTTTAAAATTATGCATTTCATAAACATGATTTCCACCACTATATTCCATCAAGCCTCAGAGAGCCTGAAAAAATTCATTTCTCTTGGAATCTAACAGCAATATCTATAGATCAAAATACATAATGAAATTTCTAATAAAGCATCATTAAATTTATAAATGCATCCCCTTAAATATAATTTAAAGCTTTCAGAAATTCATAGTAATTTGGTTTCCACATAGTCTTTTGTATATAGCATTGTATGTATTTTACTTGTTACTCTTAGAGGGTTTTTCTGCAATTTCATATGTATTTAAAAGTGATAATCCAGAAATTAAAAAAAAAATAACTTCAGAAGTCTTTACTGTGCATCAAAAGGTTTTTACACTAAAAGCACTTCTGTTCCCTTATAAAAAAATAATCACAGAGTTAGCAACTTTGGCCTGGATCTATAACCTCTTGATCTTCAGTTAAAAGGCATTTCACAGTAAATTTTGACAGTTCACTTTCTAATCTGAACGGTGGTTAGTTTTAGTTATTAACATACCTCCACCCAAAGCTCCTGTAAAAAAATCATTCATGTGTCTGGTTTTGTGTTTTCAGCTGCATTTCTTCTAATTTAACCACAGCAATTAGGATCTGCCCTTTACAGCAATACTGGTGCTAACACTGCAGCTTGAGCTATGCAAATATTAGCCAACATGAAAACTAAATTCAATGGAACTTGCATGGACATCAGGATCTGCTAAATGACCAAAACCCTCAGATACAGCCTCTGACTATCTAAAATACTTCAATAAAAGTACTTCATATCATAGAAAGAATCCTTATATAGGGAAGGGACATAGATTAGTTATAAAGAGTCTACCCAAAAAAAGCCCTTCTGAACACTGGCTCACACATACTCCAGCTATCACTATGCATATCTTAGGCTTAGAACTAAAAGCTTACACAGAAATATGTTCAGAAAGTGCTGTACTAATAAGTGTTACCTACCTGTTAACTTGATATGTCCTGCTTCATCAAGCAAAATGCTGAAAATTAAAATTCACATTCACCAATACACATAGAGAAGAATGTTTATATACAACATTTAAAATATAATAGTTAATTTCAATCTCCAACTTCTGTTAGTCATTTAACAGGTCAATATTTAATTTAAGCCACAGATATGTTTTACATTTTATCTTTCTTTACATAGTCTATCAAAAGCATTTAAAGTTTTTTCACATCATTGTAGTAGAAAATGCAAAGCAACAAGCAAAAGACACATAATAGTGGTAAAATACATTTTACTTTACTTTTCTGGCTTCAGGTCCCTGTACACAATTCCCAAGCTGTGAAGGTGATCCAAAGCAAGGGCCAGTTCTGCGAGGTAGAATTTCACATCTTCCTCTGTAAACATAACCTAATAAGAACTGTATAGATTTACCTTCTGATCTTGTCTTCAGTTTTTAAAACTGCAATCTAAACAAATAGTTCTGTCTACCTAAATTTCAAAATCAGTTTTAGAAGTACCTTACGAGCTACTTATTCCTGAATTTGCCTAACAGAAATTACACACTAATATAGGCTAATCATCAAGTATACCTGCAATACTCAAACAAAAACATCAGCAGTTACTGCTGAGTATTAGCTAACTTCTAAGGTAACAAATTTAATTGTTATATTTAGTGTTATTGACCACCAGCACTCCTCCTGCCACAATCCTATCCAGACTGTTTTCCACTGCATCATAAAATTTAGCACGACTGCTGTATTGAGTGACTGTGTCTGAATTCACACTAACAATACCTAAGGAAAAAAAATAAGTAGAAATTTAGGAAAAAAGTATGCAAAACAAAACACTTTGCTGAAAATAATGGCATGAGTTGAAGAACCTACTCTGCTCCTCTTGGGAAATGAAATTTGAAGAACCCTAGTGAGCTGCTGCATATGCAGCATTTGAAAGATGCATTTCTGGCTGAAATACTCCACAGGTTGCTTCTAATTTCATTTGGAAATATTGTACCTGCTTTGGCTCTTGTCACGTTCTACCAATTACAGGAGAGGTCAGTAATCTTTAAAATACTGGAAGTGAATTTGAGGTTTAAGTGAACTATTCCCTTATCTGTTGAAAACACCAGGAACAAGGAGAATGACCATCTCAACTGCACAGCAGAGAGCTCACAAGACTTAAATGAACTGGGCTCACTGATGTAGCAACACACAGACCTGTACTCTGAACTGCACAGATGTAACCAGATGTACTGGCAGCTGAAATATTCCTGATTTCCTTAATGATCAATAGTAATGTTCATGAACAATAAAGCTGTTACACTACACAAAGTTTCACCTTGATTTTTTAAAGAGCAATGTTGATGTTGTTTTTCTTCTATACCCAAAAGAGCAAGAGGAAGCCTTTGATAGCATTATTCCTTGGAGCAGCCAAAATGCAAATGTCAGAACACAATGAGGTTCATCTACAATCTCCCAATAATAATTTCATATAAAACTGCTTAATGTGTCAAATTAAACATGATGCAAGTCAGCTTCATTAAATGTTACCAAAGAAAACTTCATTACATGCTCATTGCTCTTCCACAGCTGAAACTCTCATACCCACATTCGAATTTGAAGACGAACAAAAGTGTTTTAATAACCTCGTACTAAACCAAATTAATTTAAAATAATCCTTGTGTGGAAAGTCTGAAATGCCATGGGGAATTCACCCTCATGGGTATTGCCCACTGTCTGTTTCACCATGTACTTTTGAAAATGCCTTGTCTTCCCACCAGAAAATAAAAAGGCCTGATTTTATTAATTTTTATTATCTATATACACAGTAAGTGTTTAAAAGCCATCCTAGAAGGTTACTGAAGTCTTCAGAAATGAACATAGAGAGGCTTAACAGTAGGAAAACTTGACAATTATTCCTTTTTCCCTCCCAAAGGGAATACATACCTCCCTCAACCACCTAGCCAGCATTATTACAGGTAGACTTGCAGCCCTTATTTAAGAGTGTTGCGTACTCACTAATCCCAGCTGGGTTTGGGTAGAAGAATAGTTCTTCCTGCTATACCAGAATTTCCTCTATAATTAGACACCTTACACCAAAGCAGAGATTGACCTCTCTCCTACCTACTGTTCCAATAACCCTTTACAAGTCAGTTGGTTTGTTTAAGCTTTTAACCTCCATTTTAGCCTCAAGGTTAATTAATTTTGAGCTCAATTCTTAGATATAATCACTGTTTTACCAAGGTCAGCTTTTTATGAAAAAGGAAAACAAAAAACCTCTTGAAATTCTTCCTCCTCTTTCACCTGCTCGTGAAGTGAAGCTTTATTTTTACAAAAAGTATATGGGGAAAAAATCCTAGCTCATGGCCTTACATACCCTACTTCAAGGCATGAAAAAAAATCACTCATTTAAGAAAGTGGATTTTTTCCTGTGCATTAGCAATAGAAATGTATTTACAGCAGTGAGAACACTGAAAAGCTCTCTTACTGTGAAGCTGCTGAGAAATTGCCATTAAAAATTTAGATCTTTATGAAAGGTTTGCAGAAAGAAAATAAGTCTTATAAACATGCTCCTAATACTTAAGGTAACATAATAAATATTTGATGACAAACATTTAAAAAATCTTAACAACAGGCTGCATCCTATTCCCTCCTCTGAAGCACTCTCTCCAGAAAACAAAAATAGAAGTGAAAAATTAAAGTTCCAGTGGCACAGCAATGTTAAATGAAGAGGAGCAGTCTCAAAATCACTCAATGTTCACATGTGGTGAAATTAAGCATTAGGATTTATAATTGTCTAACAGCATTATGAAATTTTACAATGCAGCAGAAATCAGATGTGGGCTTCCAGAAGCACCTAAGCTGACTACAAGCACCAGAACTATACATCCCCTTTCTTTATTGCTAAATATTAATTTCTTGCAGATAGGTATCTAAGCAACAAAACATTTTTAGACAAAAGAACTGCTCTTTGCAGATACCAAATTAAAATTTAGGCTACTCATCAATAGACACTTGTGTTGCTTAAGGTTATAGAATATATTCTAGAATATATAAGGGAAGCCCAAGTAAGTTTTTAATAACTGTGACAAGAAATACAGTGGAGAGCTATAAAAGACAATCCTATACTAACAAAAACACCCCATCTACCAATAAGCAGAGATAAAATTTTAGGTACTTACCTCTTTGGATAATCGCGTGAATACATCTCCTCCCCTGAGAAAATCCAATATTAAATATAGCTTCCCTTCAGTCTGAAAGGCTAAAACAAAAAAATATTTAAAATTAAAATCAATAGTTGTGTGACACAGATATCTACAATCCCAAACTGAATGCTTTTACAGCTTGGAAATTTCATTGAAAAGCAATGCTTTTGTTATGGAACTGAAATAATTCAGCAGCACGTGAGGTACGATTACTTGTTTCTTCACAAAAGGCAATCCTAGTCATGAGATGATTAAAACACTGTTCTTTTAGTTCCCCTTTGTCAAACAGGGAAACACCAAGTATGTGAATTACTGTGTTTTGGTTTTACTCAATGAAAAGTAAGAAAAATCTCTGCAGAACTTCAGAATTTTCCAAATTTTTCATTTCAAGAGGATTAAGACTACTCTATACATATGTATATATGTTCCTCTTCTATCCCTGTGATTTAGTTGCTAGAACCTAATTCAGACTCTAAAATTGACACTACAAAACCAAGAAAGAACATCAGCCTTCAAGTAACAAGAAAATGTAGAAAAAAATACCAACCATAGTGCAGTTTGACGATAAATGGATGATTTACTTCTACTAATATATCTCTCTCCATTTTTGTCCGAACTCTATCCCGTACTGGAGGAAAAAAAAAACAGAAAAAGATTAGTAGGAAACAAATCTATTTGGTATAATACAGATGGAGCAGAAATTAGCATATGGAAAGTCTTTGCTGTCTGAAGAAATACTTTTCCTCGTTACCATGTTTGGTTTTGACTCTTAAGTCTCCCATAAAACACATGCTTTTGGACAGTAAAACCATTTTCTCACCTGCCCCACCTCCTCACTGTCTTCATTTTTTTCCCCAACACATCCCAATATTTTGTGATACTACTTCCAACAAAAAAAGCTCACATCTACATTTCCAGGCAGCTAACTTCAACATCTTCATTAACTACCTGTACTGAATAGCTATCTTTTAAGATCACTTATCCCTCTTCAACTAGTAACAGTCCCTATTTACACAAAGTGGAGTTGCATCCATTAAAGTGTCTCCTGAAAGCCAAAACAGTAAGTTCACTTTCTATGGCACCTATAACAAGAGGGAATGATTTAATTTCAACCACAGTAGAGCTCTAACTTAAAAGACAAAAGGAAAATTGTTTATGAAATTAATTTGGCTTAATATAATGAAAAGACTAAACAGAACTAAATAATGCAATTTTAAACTTTGAAAGAGTACCTTTTACCACATAATTAATGCTGTCTGGCCAGATTTAAAGTAATTCTTGAACATGAACTTACAAGTTAGTCTAGAAAAAAAGCTCCTGTCAAAGAAGAGTTATGAACTCACTGAAAAACATTTAAGATTAAAAAAGAAAGTGTTTTTAAGTACTATTTACAAGATCTAAGAGATGTGGGTGCAGTGAAAACCATTTGTTAACGTTCCAGTTCAGAAGACACACGTACCTTTTAAAGAAGCTTTCTTCAATACTTTCATTGCATAAAGTTGCCCAGCATCAGGACCAATTATTTTCCGAACGAGGAAGACCTAGTGATACAAACACTGCTTTTAATGTCACTGCTAAAAGTATCTTATGTAAAACTGATTAAAACCCGTCACTACACCTTTACTTTTAACTTCATTAATACAGAGAAGTAGTTAGCACATCCCCAGTCCTGTCCCATTCCTCATGAACTCCAAGGAATAAAAAGATGACAAACATTCACAGTAAGTCTTTTTCCACAAGCAAGCTGAGTAAGCAAGCAGGCAACTCTCACAATGCATTTCCTATTAATTTCAGGCAGCTTTCAGTGTTCTTTCCTAAGTACACACCTTTAAAGGAAGAACAAAAGTGCTTCCTCTTAATCAGATTAGAGGTACATGCAGCACCAAACTCTCTCAAGTATTCACATCACTCAAACTGTGTGTTCCTCCCTACAGCAAGCTGTTTAAAGGAATACTTACCAAAAAGGCACTTCCATAAATGCTTTCCTTTATATTGCTTTCCTACAGAATAACAACTCTGCCTGCTCTGCCACCTCCTAAGAGATTTTTGAGGGTTAGGACCTAAATCTCAAATATCTAACAGGCCTATTAATGAATTCCATAAGAGTGGCAAGACGAAAGCAAGGAAACCTCACCACTTAAGATCAAAGCACCTTCCCCTCTGGAATAGCAGCTCCAACAGGTTTTTCTACTCTTTTCTTTCCAGAGGAGTTTTAAAGATAAATAGTATATAACCTGACACTAAGAAAGGCATAATATTAGATTAGAATAATGCAGTACAAATACAGGTACCTCTGACTACTGTTCTAGCTACTGAGTCTCTCAGTTCACAAAACTGTTTGGCACATGCTTCTGTTCCCAAGTTCTTGTTCTTATAATAGCAATTATTAGTTATAAGGAATGTTTGTACTGGGGAAAAAGAAATGTACAGGTCACAAGAGAATGCCAAGAGCTACCTAAAATTGCCCCTCTGATCTTACCTTATTCAGATTTTCATTAACACTAGATCTATATTTAATAACTTCTAACATATGATATATATGTATTAATTTTTTATGTTTTTAAAATAAAATAAGCTTGTCACATTTTTCATTCTAGAAACAGAAATTCATACGCTGTCACTGACTAAACTCTACAGGGCTGGGAGAGGGGTTGTTCTTATTGTAAGCTCTGGTTAGATGAAAACTACCATTATGTTTCAAGGTTATCAGGCTTTTTTTAAGTTTTGCCCAGTGATTGACCTGCAGCAGTGCTCTCAGTGATGCCCAAATAGTAAAAGGACTACTTCAAACATCAGCAAATAAGAAAACATCTGTAGATTAATACATTCACACTTTTGAAAATCAAATATTAAAAAGTATGTAGAAATATTTAATAATAGCAGCTTGTGAGAATGTAAGGAATTCATGCACAAGTTACAAATTTGAGCTAGTAAGGACCAAAACAACTGCCACTGAAAATGACTCAAGCATCATCTATGTAAGCTGGAGACAAAGTCTCCATAACACTGCATCTTGAGGAGATGCCAGTCAGTTGTGCCCATCTTGATATGCTTCACATGTTGCACAAAGTGATTCACCCACGTGAATCCAAGATCATCCTCAGCAGGCTGCATGCTGAAGCCTCACAACATTATCAAAGGCTGAAGAGAGAAACTCAGTAAGGGACATGAGGTTTAACTCTTTATTTCTGTGAAGCTGTGTTAAATTCTGCACAGATACCCAAAAAAGAGAGGTTGAGGATGGGCTGTAGCTAGGCTACAGCAAACCCAAAGGGAGGCCCCTGGGAAATAGGAACTGAAGACAGAAAACAAACACCATGTAGGCAACAGCCATTGATCTTCCTCCTTTGTTTTCTCATTTCAAAAGCAAGCAACAGATACTAGATAAGAAGAGCTCTGCTCATACGTGCAACAGGCACCATTCAGTTGTTAATGCTGGTTCCTGAACCAAGTACTGCCAGGTTTCAAAGTTCCAAAAGAGACCCCTCGCCAAGCTGGTGGGGTTCTGAGCAAGACTGTTCCTGAGGCTGCCACAAGTCTGACCTCTGTGAAGTGAGAATCTGAGTCAGGGCTAAGATGTCCAGACCCCTAAGATAGCTTGAGACATCTCAAGTCAGGAGTAATCAATGCAGGGAGCCTCTTAGGCTCTGAAGGTGAGAACCACACGAGGAAACAGGCAACTAACACTGCCAGATAAAGAACTGCTTCTTGAGCTGTAAACCACTAAGAAATAAAGTCTATTTTCTAAACCACCGATTCATAAAATGTCTTCCTAATGTATGAGGGGGGAAACAAAAAAAATCAGACAACTCTATGCAGAGGTTTGTTCCTGCCATGAGAGACAAAATCAGCAGAACAGGAAAATGGAAATGGATGTGCAGCCGACTGTTGACCTTTTGTGTGTCACAAAAGATCTAGTTTAAGAGTCTGGTTTTAAAAAATAAATTAACTTCTTATACACTAGGATTAATATTTCAACTCATGTCCTTCAAACTAGTAACTGAGACATTTGATTTTTTATTTCATTTCAGCAATGTGACATCAAGTGACAGAGAAATTATTGTAACAAAACCTCTGCATGTTTCTCCTACATGCTATTTGAATAGCTGCTCACTTAGTGTCTTCTAGCTGCAGATCACTTGACAAATCCAGCGAAATAATGAAACCTGAAATACATTTCCCAGGTTATTTACTTCATTGTTACTTCAGCTCAAGTTCCAAGCTACCACAATCACTCTTCTGTATCTATGTCAGTACAGAATCTGTATATTGAAAGAACTCAGACATTCACAGCATGTCAAGCACCACCATGAAAACACAAATCACCAGCTCCTCCAGAAGCGTCCATCAACACCTGATAGGTTCCTGGTGTCTCCCAAGCACCAATGTAAGCTACAGGACATGTGAGGTAACCTATGCAGAACAGATAAATGGTTCTTTATACCCTAACTTTCTACCTTTCTACCCCAACTTTCCATGGCAGACCTTCTCAAATTTGGTACTGACTGATGCTTTTCCCTAGAGACTGAGGCTGTTGTCTCCCTGTGTCGGAGAGGATTTGGTGTGCTGCTATAAACACTGCTCCCTTGGCACCAAAACAAGATTGGAAAATGATGGAGTTTGTAAATATCCTCTCAGATGTTCCCAGCAATTCTGTTAAGGCATTTTCTTGAATGTCTGGACAACTCTATGGTAAAATACATTGGTTTTCCTCTAAGAAAGGTGAAATCAGAAACACTATGTAGTAAAAATGAAAACACACACTTCTCATCCAACTGCAAAACAAGCTGGAAAACTTCTTCCAAAACAGGGCAATTCCTACACCTGTATCTACCCATACTCACAACTTGTTATGTTTATACTTAACCTTCTTGTATTAGAGAAATAAGGGAAGTAAGACAAAGCAGGGTCAAAGTGGATGTCAGATGAAAACAAAATGTGTTATCTTACCTTTCCAAACGATCCCTGTCCAAGAACCTTCAGAAGTTCAAACTGTGCTGGATCTGCTTTCTCACATCCTTCTTTCACATGGTGTGTAATAGGAATTTCTTTCACACTTCCTTCATCCTGTAATTTCAAGACAAACAAAATACAACAATCAATAGGCCTGAATTTATCTACTCTCATTAGAAGTGCATGTGAATGCCTGCTCTTTTCTTAGTTTGCTTTCAGGTTTTATTCTTTATTTTTAAATATTTGAAATTCTAATAAGCTGTTGAAATGAAGAGTTTTCCCATCCATCCTCTCTCAAATGGATGCATCTAAAATTCCTAAACTGAAGTAAAATTCTCAAAGAATGCTCTCGTCCTTTTGTTATAAATATTACAACTGCAAAGGTGGATTTTCTTATATGAAATGAATAAACATACAGATTTTTAAACCAAGTCTAAGATGACCTTTCTGTGCTTCACCTCTGCTTTAGCAGCCTTTACTTTTCCCAGTGATTACTCTTCTCAGCTTTCCTGAAATCATCTTAATGAAAGCTAAATTGAATTTCATCATTGTAGGTAATTATTGCTTTTCACAGCAGCAAATAATAAATATGGCCATCCATCTGTAGCCAGAGGGAGATGCAGCGTTGGAAGAGCACAAATAACTATGAGTCATCTGAAGAACTCCGAGAATTCTCGTGTCCAACAGAAGAAACACAGCTCTGGGGTGCAGACCTCCTTCAGAGGGCTGAGGGCAGTGCTGGGAAGGTAGAAGATTCAGGGTTCTGTTGACTTTTTCCTGTTACTCTCACGTTCAGCAACGTGGGGCAGAGCAGTCCCAATTGTGAAAAGACAAACATTCCTGACGAAACCCAAGCAATGATACACTGCAGCTTTTATGGTGTAAGAGAAGTTTCTCTGAGCCAAAACAAGCAAGATGTCAAAATAAGCACCCTTGAAACTACAAACTGTGTGCTAGGGCCTGCAGCAGCACCCAGGGCTTGCACACACCAAGGGAGCAGCACCTCTCACTATCGAGAACAACAACTAATTTCTTGCACACTGCCAACAACTCAATCACAACAGAAAATCCCTCCTAATTTGCAGTACTTGGATGTCTTTAGGATATCTAAGTGGTTATTAACCATCCTCCTTTTCCTCTCTTTAGATCTTCATCTCGAAAGCCCAAGAATGGAACAGTTGGCTTTAGGAATGAACACTTAGGGTGCATTCAGAAGAGTGTGGCCAGCAGGTCAGGCAAGGTTCTCCTCTCTCTCTGCTCTGCCCTACTGAGGCCACATGTGGAGTTCTGTGTCCAGTGCTGGGCTCCTCAGTGCAAGAGAGACAAGGAACTACTGGAGAGTCCAGCAGAGGCTACAAAAATGATGAGGGAACTGGAGCATCTCTGTTGAGGAAAGGCTGAGGGACCTGGGGCTGTTCCACCAGGGGAAGACTCAGAGGGGATCTGATCAATGCTGATCAAGAGCTAAAGGGCCCATGGGGGGCAGGAGAATGGGGCCAGACCCTTCTTACTGGTACCCAGCAGCAGGACAAAGGGCAACTGGCACGAACTGGAACCCAGGAGGTTGCATCTGAACATGAGGAGAAATGCTTTACTGTGAGGGTGCCAGAGAGGCTGTGGAGTCCCCTTCTCTGGAGAGATTCCAAGCCCACCAGGACACCATCCTGGGCACCCTGCTGTGGGTGACCTGCTGGAAGCAGGGGGGTTGGACAAGATGATCTTCAGAGGTCCCTTCCAACCCCCACCGTGCTGGGACTCTGTGATCATCCATAGCCAGGTTAGCTACAGAAAGTCTTGCTGCCCAAGACCATGCATTAAAACTCACAATGAGCATTAGCAGAATTGGCACAGAAGTATCTGGACAAAATTCTCTGTTGGGTTTATACAGAAATTCAGGGTAGAAACCTGATCATCTAAATGGGTACATACTTAGTGCAATAATTAAAAAGGGGGCAACGGGTATGTGCTTAGTGCAATAATTAAAAAGGGGGCAATCAGCACACTGCATTAAGTGTCTGCCTTATTTGGTTTGTTTGTCCAGAGTAGGAAAGAAAGAGGTCAAACTAACACCTTAGTGTACTCACAAACTGTAGTCTGGTTGTTACTGCACACGAGCCCTTTTTCCCCTCCCCTCCAGCTCTTAGTGCACACTCCCTGGAAGAGGCCTGGTTGTTTCTCCTCCCCATCCAGAGATAGATATTAACCCAAGACACTGCTGGGTAACAAAGTTAACTCTAATTCACATTCTCAACTACTTTATTTCCCCTCTCTGTTCACAAAACAAACAGCTGACATACACTGATGATCTAGCAGGTCCATCCCAGCTCCATTTCATCCATCTTGTTGGCTCTGCATATATATCTATTCACAGGAATGATGCACATAACTCTTCTTTTTTTTTAACACATGCCTGGAATTTAAGGCACGTAAGAACACCAGCATTTCCAGTCAGCTGATGACAGATGAAAGCAGCAAGTCATCTAGTTATACACCAAGCTGTACAACAGTTGTACAACAAACAGCTGGTTCCTTCTACGAAGTATGTAAATACTCTGTTTAGAAGCTTTTTTATTTGACCATCCTAATTTGTATTCCTTAACACTGTGAACCTTTGCATGAGAAAAAAGACCTTGAAGCAGAAGAGCAGGTGAACTCTTATCACCCACCTTGAGTCATTAGCCTGTGACATCACATGTGGTTGCTGTGGAGACTGACGAGAGTATTTCTAAATGTGAACCAAGGAAAATAAATGTTTTCCATGCAAATAAGGACTAACTTGAGAGTTATGAAATGAGGGTTTTTATGAAGTGTTTTACCTTCACAAAAGATGTCTATGTAATTTCACCTACTTAACTATCATTAAAGTACTAAAAATTGGCATGACTGAAGAATAAAAAGACCTCTGCCTCATCAACAAGAAAGGAACAGGTAAAGAGCTGAACAGGTACACAAGCAAATTTCATTTTAACTTCTAGTTTGGCCTCCACGACCTGTGGATTTGGTTATCTGATTTTGGGCTTTGCTGCTTGAGCTGCAAGCCTACATCAGTGCTCAGGTAGCAGCTCCCACGGAGTGGCCTTGCACAAGAGAGAGCTATTCCCAGCAGGTTCAACAGAAGACAAAGCAGTGAAGCAAACGTTGCAATCATTCTGGCTTTGTGCCATCCCACTTCGTTGCAGCTTGACTGGCATGTAGCTCCAAGCACCTAACAAACAAGCTCAGCAACATCCTCCTGCTTCAAGTGCAGTGAAAGACTGAGACAACCCCTTGCACATCTTCCTTTGCCACACGTAACACGAGTGTGACACTGTTACTTACTCCACACCAGGAAACATCCAAGCACTACTTGTTTCTACCCCCAGGAGTTTGTTCTCCAAATCACTGCCTCAAAAAGTTATTATTGCAATACAAAGCAGTGGTTACAGCCTGCTGTAAGATCTATGTTGATACCTTCTCTTGTGAACCTGTTCAAAAAATGTGTGGATGGGTGTGTTGAAAAATGATGGCAAATTTTTCCAGGCAAAGTCTTTTACCCTGAGGTTTAGTCTGAGATTTAGCCAGCATAGAGAACACTGATCTTCAGCCTCTCACACCATCAAGGCATGACAGGTTCAGAAAACTTATTAAAGAAGAGGGAATGCATAAGTGTTGCTTCAAAAGGAAGTCATGCTAACGAGTGTCTAAGCTGAACATCTCTTGGATATACTCACGTGGTAGGAATATGGTTCACCTTCTTCCATAGGCTCATCTGCCATTTTAAGGCCATTTAGCTGGAGAGGGGAAGGAAGCAGAATGCAGAAGAGAAAACAAAAACCAAAAACAACATTAAGACCTAACAATTTCAAATCAGCAGAGTTAATAATTCGACCGATTTACATTTCAGAGCACACAAATGAAAACTCATTTTCTTGTTGCTCTAATTTCAAACTGTAGTTTCAAACAAATATTACTACTTAGTAGTTATATTTAGCATCTCCCTTATGCATCATTTAGCACACCCTGTGTAAATGCCAGTCCAGAGCGTTATTTCATCAGAACTAATTTTAAATTCCTTCTTTAAAAGCTACAGACACCATCCACACAAGATGACACCAAAGTAAAATTCTTCCACTATGCACAAATTTATGTTGTGGATGCTTTTCAGAAACCTAAAATCTGCTGCTGAAAATTACTCTGTAATTTAAGTAGAAAAAAAAAAAAACATTCACAAGTGATTTCAGGTCTTTTGGGGGCAAGTGGGAGAAGTGCAAGAGGAGGCAGAAAGGAGAATACATATCACAGGATTCTTATGCACAAAAATAATTACCTATTTCCTTAAAAAAATCCTCTAAAAATTTGCCTGCATCAGAAGTTAAATACCCAGAAAATAGAATACTCAAACTTTAATCAAGTACTTCAGAAACTGTAGATCTGTTTATTAAAATATTTATGGATCAATTCCAAAAATAACACTTTTAAGGGCCAGAAAAGGATGATATGCATCTAGACAGAAGCAAATAAATGACACAATCTTAAATGAGCACAGTACTTGCTAGCAGTTGCTTATTCCCCCCCCCAAAAAAACCAGTAAAAAGATACCAAGTCAACAGTCACAGTAAAAGAAAAAGAAAGTTAAGAAGTCATTGAGTTTAAGCTCTCCCTAAGTAACAAGCAATTCAATGCTGCTTAACAACTGAAACTTTAAAAAAAGCACAGAAACATAAAGGACCTGCTCTGTTTCAACATGCACAGCACAGATTAAAAACTGGAAATACCTGACGAAGTGGGTGAAGCCAATTATGGCTTTTGCTAGTGGTAATTGCCAATTTATTTATAAGTGAATTGTTCAGCATCACTACCTTCATGTGACACAGGCTCCACACAAAATAATACTGACTAGAAAGAACATGAGGAAACACAAACTATTTCTTTCCTGAAAAGCTGAACCAATTAATTTCTTACACTAGTAACAGCCTTTTTTTTCTTGCACTTCTGAATTTATCTAAAAGTCATGCCTAAGATACCAAACTATGGTACTGCTATCAGTATGTGAACTGATGAAACATGGGACTTCACAGAATCCTGAAACACCGTGCAGCCCATGCCCCTGCTCAAAACCAAACCAGACAACTCCATGGACAAGCAGGGCTGAAGGGAAAGGTTACACCACCACCACTGCAGAACCCTCAGCCACTTCCACTGCTGCTCCTGGGACTCTTTGATTTCTTAGCTTTTAAGGGCTAAGGCTGAAATGAATGATTTTGCTAGAATTAAAGCTCCAATTTTTGGACCAAGATACTGACACTTAGTTTTGGACTATATCCTCACAAAAAAAAAAAGGAAATATCAAGGAATGTAGCTTGGTTACTGTCACTCTTCTCTAAGTTTCTGTTCATTTTAACCAAGTGCTGGCATATTCAACACACTCATCATTCACATCTATCATACACTCCCACCCTAATTTCTCAAGGCCAAAAAAAATCACTGACCTTTTGCCCTGGATTCAGAAACCTCATGTACACTACAGAAACCAAAGCTGATAACTAATCTGCTCCATAACATTTCTTTTTTTGCATAAATAGTTTTTCAAATGTGGATATGGGGAGGGGTGAGACACCCACTATACTATGAATTAATTGAATGCATAAAGAAATACAAACTCCAACCTCATTCCAGACAATTCACTGCCACGTGATTTCTTCTCCCTGTACCACTAGATCACATTCAATTGCAAATCAAATCACTGAAGCTGTGAGAGACACTTCCTTAGATCTAGTAATAAAATGAGTTTCTACTCTAGGTGCTCAGAAATGAGATATGATTCCTCACTCATGGACTTTATGCTGAAGTGAATTTAGTGTGTATTTACATTTTCTTTCTTTAAACGTAGCAAATATCTCCCAAGCTTTTCTTTTACTTCAATTTAAGCTCTGGAACCAATACCACCAGCCAGAGGAGCTGCAGGTAACGCTGAAAACAGCAGCTTAACTCCAGGCAATCAGGAACAGAAAGCTGTCACTACTGGAACAGGGTTTTGAACCCCAAAACAACATTTTATTCCATCTACATAGTTCCTAAGCACGCCATGAAGGCATACTTTCAGCTTTCTGGCAAATCAAATATAGTAAGTTATTGGATTTTCATGGCAGGTAATCAAATGTCATCTTAATTAACAATTTCCTACCGTACGCTTTTCCTCTTCAGGGTTTTTCTTTCCTGTCCAGTCTCTCTGGAACTACAAAAACTGGGAAGCCTGCCAACTTTTAGTCCAAAGAATTTTATGTCCAAGTACATGAATCTACTTTTATTGCCTGATACACATGACCACACTTCTGCCTTTGTTTGTGAAGCCTGGTCACTGTCCACTGAAAACAAGCAAAGAAAAAAACAACAAAACAAACCAAGAAGCACTGACAAACCTGTAGGATTGCAACCAAAGTCTAGTTGTTGGTTGGTTATTCAGCTCAAAAGTTCAGTGACAGAAATCAGATCACTACTGTTCTGCACAGTTACCTAAATTTGCTGAGTTGCAGTAGCTAGAAGTTCCCACTCTCCTCCAGATTAGGCAAAACCAGAAAGTTAATTCCTACCTCTATGGAAGCCAAAGACAAAATTCTGTTTCCACAACTGAGTAGGACTCCTTTTAGTCACTTAATCATGAATATTTACACAAAAACACATATGGAACAGAACTATTTTAGCCTCTAAGTCATTACTAAATATCTATGAACACAGAGATTTCAATTATTATTAAGAATTAGAAACCTGTAAAGAGAACAAGAGAAAGGAGGCAAGTACCACTGTTCTGAAGGAGACACTTCCATCCTTGAATAATTTTGCTCTTCACTACTGCTCAAGTCCTACAAGTAACTGAACATTTTAAATGCTAACTTTCATCAAATCACCAAGCTCAGACACCAAAGCAAACAGCATCAACACTTGCCAAACACAAATTTTGAGAATTACAGAACGTGGTTCACACTGCTGAGGAGTGTAAAAATAACCAAAACAACTAGATAAAAAGATGGGAACAAAGTTAAGGTCAGACAACCTGGAAGGTGAGAAACTTACCTTTCCAGAGGCACAGGCTGAGAGACCCAAACCTCCACTGCCAAACCGCCTGTGAGGGAACCCAGCAAAACCTGCCTTCCCACTTAAATAGCTGCCACGGGTCCCATGACTCCCTGGGACTCTACCCTGTCACCTTGGGAGAACATCCAAAGGGCTTCTGTGGGCTGGTGAAAGGATTAAATACTGTTGCATATGTTTTTCCTCTGACAATTAAAGCAAAACCGAAGAATTTCAGTATTGCCAAAGATTTGAACCATCTTCCCTGTCATATTAAGGATGTTTTCACTGTTTGCATGGTAAAGGAGTTATAGGCTGGTGGGTCTATAGGTTTTGGGCCAAAAGAAGCTAAACAAATGGTCAGTACAAATGCCTAACTACAAGGAAAACCAGCAGAAGATCGAACCAGCTTTCCTTCTGTCCTGCTCTTGCACGTCTTCATCTAGGCATTCAAACAGCATTAAGAATCTTATAGAAAAAACAGAACTGGGAATTGTATAACCATAATATTATTAGAAGTAGAAAGCGTTATTCATCACCACTCATGTAGAACCCAGTCTGGCTTCCAGCAGGTAAAGTTCTACACAGGGATCAACAAAAGCTTCTGCCTCCCCCACGGATCCTCCCTCGCTGCGCTGAATTCGCCCAGTTACTGCAGCCACAGCCCCCAGACCTGCACCTCTCCGTGCTTCCAGAGGCACACAAGACAAACCAGTCTCCTTCCCCACAGACAAAACTATGTCTTCAAATATTCATTTCTAAATGTTAGAGTGGAAGCTTACATTAGAAGCCCCAATTATTTTCAGAAGACTTTGAAAAAAAAAATCCTTTGAAAAAAATACCCTGTTAAGATAGCCACATTTGCTCCTCATTTAGTCCAAATTACATCTGCAGAGAGTTTGCATCATTAATTTAATTAGCAACACATTGGCCTACTGCATCTTATTTTCTGAGAGAGGTTTGAGAAATCTGGGGGTTCTGTGCACAGTCAAACAGGTGAGGAGGTTTTGATTTTTTTTTTAAATGTCTAAAACTCACTGGGAACAAAACTGAAGCTTAAGGGCACCTGTTCTTCCACAGAAACACACACAACTTGTCTCCATGCAAGTCTTTTGTTTTTAAATGGTAGGTATTGTTATTAGCTGCAGGTAGGCTGGATTCAGTGCTGTGGCTCCCACACTTCTGGGACAGAAGAATCTTTCCCAGCAGAGCAGCCAAGCCCATGAAGCAGAAGATAAGACAGTGTTATTAAGGTAACCAACATGGAGTTCCATCAGCACAAGCTGAACCCCACCCTACCATGACAGGACCAGAGAAAGGATGTCCCACCATCAGCAGTGCCCACATGAGACTCCACAGGTCTGTGCTGAATCTTCTTACCTGCTCACCACCTGCACAAACCCTGTGCAAGCCTCAGTGCCTCCACTCCCCAGAGAAGAGGTAACTCACTCACACTCTCTTTAAACATACCAAGTAAAAGAGGAAGATAAAACCACCTACCTGAAAAAAAAAAAAAATTCAACCTTAAGCCCATAATCAGTTACTAGGGAAAGTTCTAAAGTTCTTTTCCTGTGGCAAATAAATCATCCATTCAGACAGAATAACAAACCTTCAGCAACATATAATTACTGATTTTAAGAGAACATTTTGAGCCTTTGCATTATCAGAGATCAGGGGAGAATTATGTGTGCCTCAGCCTAGTCAGAGCTGTGACAAG